GATATTAAAACAGTTTATTTAGCCAGAAAAATACAGATAGAGTGAATAATAAAAACAATATTAACATGGCTGAACCAGTTGAGAGCTGAGTTGTCTTGGTGGCACGTGATATATACTGGGAGGTAGCATGGTGCAGACACTATCTAGCTTATTGCACACAGTAATAGATAATGACTCTAATCACATTACAACCTCCACTGTAGGTCTTAACCAGTGTTACTTCGAAGACAATTTTAGTGGGTAGTCTAAAATATGTTTTGTTTCTGATAGGAGGAAAGATAAAACAAACAAACAAACAATGCGAAGAAAATGTAAATACAAGTCAAGAAGAAAGCAAGCAGTCCAATTTTATTTTGATTTGTTTGGAATATTTTCAATCGCCTTTTTTTTTCGAATACCCCGAAACTTGTACATCATTTATAGAAGGTGTAGTAGGTAACTGATGCTGAGTGTGAAAGCAATATATAGAACCATCTCTTAAAAAACTCGTTGGGAGATAATCGAAAAGTTACAGTAGTTTCAAGAAATTTTCGTACGTGACAACTTTTCGGTCAGAGCTCATACTCGGGTGGACAAACCCAACGCACTCTTGCCGCTCTCACGTTAGCGCTGGATTGCAAATTATACAAAACTCTAAGGAAAAAATTCACATCACACATACGAGCTGATTAAGTCGGACTGAACGAAATATCTTAATTACTACTCAGGAAACATTATTAAACACGCTTGTATTTTACGGAGACGTCAGGCATTATGTTAGAGTGGGAAGGGAAATGATTTTAAGTCAATAATTCGTGTATGCTTATTATCACGTTTTGGACATCGAGGTAAAACGAACTTATTTCATGTCCCTAAATTACCAGATTTAGGTGGAGAAGCAGCCAGAACTTACCTGAGCAATCCTAGAGCGTCCGGCTATAGTACAATCACCCCATCAGAACCACTACGACTACCAAAACCACTACAACTATCAGTACCACTACAACTATCAGAACCACTACGACTACCAGAACCGCCACAACCATCAGAACCACTACGACTACCAGAACCACTAAAACTATCAGTACCACTACAACTATCAGTACCACTACAACTACCGGAACCACTACAACTACCAGAACCACTACAACTACCAGAACCACTACAACTACCAGAACCACTACAACTACCAGAACCACTACAACTACCAGAACCACTACAACTACCAGAACCACTACAACTACCAGAACCACTACAACTACCAGAACCACTAAAACTACAACCATCAATACAACAATAGAACACCATCAAGGCTTCCAATGCAAGAAAGCAGTGAACGGCTAACCAATGGGAAAACTCTTAAGAAGTGAAGGGCTTGGCTTCCTGCACTCGACAACGTCATTACTCGTAGGTAAACAAGTCCATCCGTGTTGCTAGCTGCCACTACAACACAACATGGGTGATCACTGGTGAGGTAGAATGTTATAGAGTGATGTTTTAACGTTAACCTAACCTAACCCTGAAACCAATACCAGGTATACGGCAGCTGAGCCAAAATACCTAACAAGATTTTTTTTTTATCGTAATTACTCAAAATTACTAAATTTAATACTCAACAAACACAAAAACAAGATTGAGAATATTATAAAAATTCCAATTGAAAGTAAGTTAGTAAGAGAGAATTTAGATCTTCCTTCATATTATAGTCTGGGAGTTCCTTCTGGATCTTCCTGGGAAAAGAAAAATAACCTCCCTCCCCCTCTCCCCCTGCCCTCGGCTCACTTTGAGGAACTGTGCCGAGATTTTTTTAACTTCAGTCAGGGTTTTATTTAATTGTATATATTATATATTTTTTTGCAGTACAGTTTGATGATACTTCTCTTCCTTCACTTGAGTCGTCTCCTGCTGTCCAGGCCTTCCTCTTGATTGAGTCTTCTTGGCTGAGCCTTCTTCTTGGTTGAGTTTTATTCTTGGTTGAGTTCTTTTCCTGGATGAGTCTTTCTGGATGAGTCTTGAGTCTTCTTGGGCGAGTCCTATTCTTGGTTGAGTCTTCTTGACTCAATCTCGTCCTTGGCTGACTCTTGTCCTTAGCGGTGGCTCATTCTTATATTAGCTGTATATTCGTGGTTGAGTCTACTTCCGATGTGTTGATTCTTCTTCTTTCCTGTGGAAAATATGCCAACAGAGCCTGAGCAGAGTCGTTTTCTTGGCCGAGTCCTCTGTGGTCAAGCCTTCCCATTCTCGATTCCTCCCCGCTGTTGTAGTGTGACAGAAGCTGCAACAGTGTGTTGCAGTGTGACAGAAGCTGCAACAGTGTGTTGTAGTGTGACAGAAGCTGCAACAGTGTGTTGTAGTGTGACAGAAGCTGCAACAGTGTGTTGCAGTGTGACAGAAGCTGCAACAGTGTATTGTAGTGTGACAGAAGCTGCAACAGTGTATTGTAGTGTGACAGAAGCTGCAACAGTGTGTTGCAGTGTGACAGAAGCTGCAACAGTGTATTGTAGTGTGACAGAAGCTGCAACAGTGTGTTGCAGTGTGACAGAAGCTGCAACAATGTGTTGCAGTGTGACAGAAGTTGCAACAGTGTGTTGCAGTGTGACAGAAGCTGCCACAGTGTGTTGTAGTGTGACAGAAGCTGCCACAGTACACTCAAATCCTGGTCGATCGTGAATAAAAAGTAGAAATTGGCAATTCTTCACGATAATTAAATCTGTCAGAGGTATTCACGATAACACTGTGTGCAGGATTTTGTGTTTTACTTTCGTTTAATGGAGTCCACTGCTGTTGGCAATGACTAGAGCATTGTTTGAAGATATATTAAGTAAAAATTAAAGAGGTCCGTCAACACTTACACTTTTAAAAAATTGGCGATACCAGATGATGTTTTTAATGGTAAATTGAACAAGTTTCATTCAAAGTATAAACAATGATCCAAAGTGTAATAAGTAAATCACAGAAGAAGAGTAGTCTTATGGCTCCCTGTACGGAAATATTATAGTTGATCGCCAAATCAAGGTAGACGCCCGACACATCAAAGCTAGTCGAAGTACCATAGTTCTCCTCTCTAAATGACGAGAAATGGAATCCTGTAACAAACATTATTTCTACCATCACTTGTAATAGTCACAAACATCCACTAAAAATCAAATTATATTCCACATCTTTGAATAGAATAATATACCCCCAAACTTACAACAAATATGCACTTTACTGAAGGTACGAACTAGTATAAATGCATACTCGTGTCATTTCGTCTCACTTGTGTAGCTCCTCTGACGACTTCACCTTTGGTTGACATTTTACACTGACAATTGCTGGAGGGGGCTGAGAGCTGATGACAAGTGGTGGGGATAAAGTCACTGAGAGGCGGCTCATGTCGACGGTCCCGGCTGAATACCAACGCATGCGACACTCACTACCCTCGCTTAGTTCTCTTCCCTCGTCTGGTTCACTAACTCTGCTTTATTCTGCTGTACGTTGAATTATTACTTAGTGTACGTAAATATGGCCCTACAGGTGTCCTGATTCTTGACTACGTGATCTCTATTGTACTAAGATTTAATGACAAAACTACAATGACAACTCACAGCATACGATTGAGCTATTTATGATGAATGGCGACTTACAATGACATAACACCTGGAGTTTGATGGTTTATACAACGATAAAGTAGAAACTGTTCTCTGTTGTACAATTATTTAATACCTTATACACGATAGCTCACCGATCTGATGCACTATAACCTAATACTTCCCCAAGGATGTTATAAGGATATGCCACTCGTACTGACAGACTTGACACTCACTTACTTGACAAGTTTTACCAACAATAAAGATAGTTGAAGCTTTCGAAATCACTGACAATGGATCTTGAATGTTCCAACTTTAATCAGACATATCTAAGTTGCCTCAACTTATGCAACCACAGTTGTAATTTCACATTGTGTCGTTATACTAAGGAATAACGAAGTCTCGGGTGCACTCTAAGATTGAGAGAAAACGGAGGACTCAGACATCCTGAAGCGATGAGAAAACGGATGCCTTAGACGGGGTACTCAATAAAGAAGGCATAGCTACATGTTTTGTGGGCTATTGAGCGTAATATGAATCGTCTGATTTTACGTTAACTGACATGCACGACCGTGATCATTACACAGTGACTTCACAACAATTTAAACGCAAAATGCGATGACCAAGCCCGATGTGTGGCGACTAATCCTGATTTACAATTACGATGACTAATCCCAATATACGACTTTTCCCTAAGAACTATGACATCCTGAAGCACGGCGACTAACCCCAATATACAACAACTAATTCCGATGTACGATCAATAAGCACGATGATTAACCTCAATATACGACTACTAACCCCAAAGTTCAGCAACTAACCCTGATGTATGATGACTAACCCCGGTGTTAGTAGCAGCACAGGCTGGGAATACCACCTTAATGTGCAGTAAAACATTCTACGCATAGTTTGTGTGTTCTCCTACGTATTTATATACTTGTTTAATAACTATTGTGTTGTAACTGCACAAGTAACTCCTTAACCTTCTTGCAACCCTATAGCCCTGAACACTCTTACCCTCCTCAACCCCCATAACCCGTCCCCGTTCATCCTCAGGCCACCCTCTACCCCTCACTCGTGAATGCTTCAGATTCACGTGTCGATACTCTCGGAGTTCATACCTTACGGAAAAGGTGGAGTGGCAACGCTAAGGAGGGAGGGAGATAGGAAGAAACTGGTTCACAAATAGGGTGGTGGACGAGTGGAACAAGCTTAGCAACTTTGTAGTAAGTGCTGGTACTCTGGAAAGTTTCAAAAGGAGGCTAGATAGATTCATGGATGATAGAGAGTGGTAGTAACTCTCGACAGGAGCTGCCATGCACAGGCCAACCGGCGTATTGCAGACTCCTTATGTTCTTATGTTCTAAGTGTACTAGTCAGAAGTCTCCAACTGTATATCACCATTTAGACGGTCCACACGATATGAGGGACAGAGTTAAAGGAAATAAGAAACACAATACAGTATATTTATATTAACTTCATTACAATAACTTCAAGAATGTAAACATTCTAATATAACCTAATGAGTATGAACAGAGATGAAAGAGAGAATAGAACGCAATAAGTTATTTCCAAGATAGTGTAGACAATCAGACTAATACGATTAACTGATCTCGACGAGGGCGGCCAGAGCCCCGGTGAACGCAGCATTATAATCGCAGGCAACCTCGTTGTGGACGTAGTCCTTGCGGTCATCTGTGTAATCGCCATTCTGTAATAGCAATAAAATTATTGCACCAAAATGTATTTATTCTAGTAAACTTCTTGCATTTTAGTGTAAGAACCTGACAGATGACAAGTGCTTAGACTACATAATAATAATAATATACCTCTCTGGCAATAGAAACATGACCTGCTGTAACTGACCTGTGCTGGACCACCGACAAGGGCGCCGTACAGAACGTGGTGGTTGGGACCGGGGTTTTCGAAAGCGCCTCCACAGTCTGCTGGGGGGTATGGGCAGGAGCTGAGGAGGGAAAGGCACACGTGACAACCTCAGTATGACGCAAGAATAAGTTGTTAGTTACAAGTTGGAAATTAAGTTTGTAACACCAAGCATTAGTTGTAGTCTGGTGTCCTTTTATTCATTTTTGTTTTATTATACTGTTATGACGTTCACTCATAATAGTTAAATAAAAGATATGCAGGTAATGGTTCCAGTTTCTTGTACCTGGAGCGGTGATGGGGCCTCTCAGGGGGGTCCTCGCCGAAGCCCACCACGAAGGACCTGTGGTAACGGGAGTTGGCGCCCAGCAGTTGACCGATCTGTTCCCTCCCCCACTTCTGGTTGGCTTCTGTGTCAAAACCATTCTTACCAGCCTGCAAGTTTTTAAATAAGATATTAAATGTTGTTACGTTAGAACCTATATAATTTTAAGACAGAAAAGTTGGGTGTAAAGATTTCCTGAGTTGTGCTCTCTTATGAGGCAAAGAGACATAAACAGTCAAAACGTGTGAAGCGCATCTTTACAATATGCGCACAAAGCCCACGTTCCTCCTCTTAAATCTTCGTAAGTGGAGAAAACTTCCTATTTTTCATCCGCAATGTTATAATTTAATAAACAATTGTCCAAGATGTGGAGGCATAAACTGACCCAGAGGGAGAGAAAAGCAACGTTGGCAGCGTGACGGTTGGCGCCCCAACTGTCCAAGTAAACCAGACCCTCAGGGGTATACGACGCCTCATTCTTCAGCCAGTCCAGGAACTTGTTAAGAGGGTCTGAGTACTCACTGGAGCCGTCAAGCAGCCAGAAGAGTGCCTGTGGAGTGAACGAGAGTTAATACACGGTGAAAACTGATGAAAGACTAAATATTGTAGTGTGAAGCTCTACCAAGGCATATTCTAATGAGGGGGTGGGATCTATAACTCCGCCAAGGGTTGTGTAGTTCCAGACAACTGTCATGCTAGAAGGTTAGCTTTTGTAACATAGCCATGATTATTTCCGAGAGAGAGAGAGAGAGAGAGAGAGAGAGAGAGAGAGAGAGAGAGAGAGAGAGAGAGAGAGAGAGAGAGAGAGAGACTATGTATTAGCAAAGTTACCCAACTGAGAAGATACATTAAAATACAGAGTAAAAAATAACAAAAGTAAGAACTAAGTAATGGGCAATGAGAAGAATAAATTGGGCTTCCTATCATCCAGATGTAAGCTACATAGGGACTAATATCCTCACAGATACTTTGATATTCAAATTACACTTCGATAAATATAACGTCTGTTCGTGTTCATGGAAGAATGCATATTTAATATTTGCATAAATGACATATTTCATTTAATCCCCCCAAAAATCAAGATTAACTTACGAAGACTCCAGCCCTCTTGTCGTCCCATGAGAACTGAACCACAGCTCCAGATAGGTTGAACTCTTCCCAGTGGCCACGGGCGCGGGTGAGGTATTCGTCGTCGCCTGTTGCTCGTGCCAGCCACAGAGCCGCCCAGCAAAGTTCGTCACCGTATCCACTCCACGAGCTGAGGAGAAGACGGGCAACAGTTTATTCATGTGCTGAGGTTAGTAATCTGCTGGTGATACTGACCTACTGGAGGTACCCGCCATAAAATGTGTGTGTGTGTGTGTGTGTGTGTGTGTGTGTGTGTGTGTGTGTGTGTGTGTGTGTGTGTGTGTGTGTGTGTGTGTGTGTGTGTGTGTGTGTGTGTGTGTGTGTGTGTGTGTGTGTGTGTGTGTGTGTGTGTGTGTGTGTGTGTGTGTGTGTGTGTGCTTGTGTGTGTGTGTGTGTGTGTGTGTGTGTGTGTGTGTGTGTGTGTGTGTGTGTGTGTGTGTGTGTGTGTGTGTGTGTGTGTGTGTGTGTGTGTGTGTGTGTGTGTGTGTGTGCCATAAACGTTAGATAATATTCCGCGAGTAACCTAGGATCAGCTTTGACAAATTTGTTGGTCCCTTTCTGAAAACTTCCTTCGCTAGTCCGATTCAAATAGACTTCCAGATTTAGGGAGGTTTTATTAGTTACATTACATTAGATAGATACAAGATTAAAGTAAATTTGACCTTATGTAAGATGATCATTTGACCCACTTTTCCTAACCCTTTAGGAGTAATGCATAAAAGAGTTGAATATTGTGACCAGAACGCCTGTGGTGGTATAGTAACGGGGTTATGGAGTGAATATCAGACTGCGTGAGTAAGAGAATTAGCATAAACATGTGGCTATGTATGAAAAGGAAGCATAACACACACACACACATGACAGCTTCACCACAGGACACAACACGTACTGGTAGTAGCTGGTGGCGTCTGTGATGGAGTTGTCGTACAAGTCACGATATTTGTCTGCAAACTCGTAGAGCTCCTTGGCCACATCCAAAGCCTTAGCGGCGTAGGCTGGATCCTTCTCCTGGAAACGTAAAGTGACGGATGGTAAGACGGGAGACAACCGAGACAATTTATCGAAATGAAGTACAGCCTTAATTAATGAGATAATATGATGCAATTTCAGTAACAGCAAAAAGAAAGATATTTTGCGAAAAGGTAAAGAGAGAGAAGAATGTCAGTAAGGAGGTATTGTCGTGAGAGATAAGGACAAGTGAGGGAAGTGACAGATAAGATAAGAGGAGTGACACCGGATAGTATACCGGGAAAATCAGCCGTTACCTTGAAGACTATAGATGCTCCGGCGAGGGCAGCGGCTGTCTCAGCTGCCAGATCACTACCTGTAGGAAGGAGACACGAACTCCTCAGTTATGTCTCAGATTATTGTTAGGAAGACACTTAACATTCTAACCAGTACATTTATTGCCATATTTACGTTATAATTCCTGGCTGAGATTTACGAAAGTGAGACCCAGAGGCAACACAAAAGTTTTAATGGAGTCAATCATCACAGAGAACATCTCAGCGCGTCGACGTACTAACCTGGGTGAGCTTCATCAATCTTGTAGGAAGGACGTTCCATGATCATGTCCTCAGGTCGACCCCAGTAGGAATGATCAAGGTCGCCTTTCCCCACCTGAAGAATGGAGCAATGAGGATAGAGTGAATTTCATTGACATACAGACGGTAGTTTTGGGGGTTTGCCTTTAACGGGATAAAATTTTGTCTGTCAGCATCAGTTTAGTTTGGTCCTCCTCATTACCATACCTACACCTCCCCTTTTATCCTGAAACATCTACTACTCGGTATCACTTGTTACAGTAATGTGTCTGGAATATTACTCTGCTCATTTCCCTCATGATAAGACACAAGTAACCCCAAGACTCCAGTGAAATTCCTTATTGAGTGCCGGAACCTTGAGTGATCTTTGGAACCTTTATTAGGTTATTTAGTTAACTTTTTTTTTTTAAATTGCTTGTGAATAGTGATTTACTGAGAGCAACAACTGACCTGACCGTAGAATTCGTCTTTGGCAGTGTGAGCCTTGAGGAAGTAGTCGGTGGTCCACTTGACCGCAGCCTGAGCGTACTCCGTCTGACCTGTGGGGGACAACCAGGGTCTTTAAAACTCGGTGTCCGGGCATCAAACTCTGATGCGTATTTTTCGACAGAAGATATCAGTGACGAATAAGGTTTATCTCTTAACACTTGGATTACTAACATATTTCCTGTATACTGTCGTTTAGTTGCTCAATTACTCTGACTTGTGATTAGTTCATTTTACTGAAAGGATTTGAAAACCTGCAAATACTTAATTTTTTTATATAATAATCAGTAGATTGTAACCTTTGGTTCACTTCGGCAACAGGATTTATGAGAGGCACAAATTAAGACTCACCGGCAGCCTCGTGTCCATCAGCAAAGTCAATTAGGCCCCAAGCCAGGACAGTGGAGGTGTAGGCCATAGGAAAACCAAATTTCACGTGGTCGCCAGCTGAAGACCAGGAAAACAGGGACAATATTAGTAAATATTGACATGATTTATATAAAAAATTATTATTTTTGTTTGAATCTCTCTCATTCTCTCTCATTTCCTCTTACCGTCATAATAGCCGCCAGTAAGGTCGTGACCTACATCAGAGCCGTCGCCAAGGGCAGAGTCGCCTCGCCAGGTGATCCTCTGGTCTGCAGGCAGAGGACCTGACCGCTGGGCCTCGTAGAACAAATACGACATACACAGTACCTGAGGGTGAGAGAAGAGATGAAAAACTCGTTGAGTTAGGATTAATACAACAGGTGAGGAGCGAGAAGGCAAAGAAGGGAGGAAGGAAGTGTACATGTTTGTCTCCACTACCCTCCTCCGCCCTCACGGAGATAAAGTAATTGTATAATATGGATTTTCTAATCTTCTGCTTCTCCATGTCAGTCGCTTTGTATTATCATTCCTCCTCGTACAGCTATTCTTTAAGTAAAAAATCGAATAAAATCGAATGCCTATTACATCCCGTTTCGTGATATGACAATTTACTCATAAATTCATTACTTCTTGTCAATATAATGTCGAATTGCCTCACACACACACCTCCCTCCCTGTATACTCATATAAATCCTGTAATTAGAGGAGCACTTCACGGTTGTTATAAAGCGACTGTTCTCTCCTACTGAGTGCATAACAAGTTGGCCCTCGTGTTCGTTGATGGCCGGGCGTAGGGCCACGTAAGGTGTTGAAGCTGTCGCCAACACAACAACCACATCCCAAGTGTCAAGGAATAATCCGAGAAGGCCGGACAACTCGCCAACTGCACTGGATACTGACCTGGCTGTAGTCATAAGGCTTCATACCCGTTTCATCACAAGGATTCGGCAGCGGGGAAGGAGTGGTGAAGGCCGCGTCTGTGGGAGTGAGGAAGGTGAGAGAATGAGAACTAACTGAGGATGTGATGGTGAGTGGGTGGCTTAAATAATGGTGTAGCGGAGATGAGAAAGGTAGAAGTGGTGAGGTAATAGGAATTGACAAGATGGAAAGAAGTGGTGAAGAAAAACAAGTTAACTAGGAGAGGTGGTGATGATGAGAAAGAAAGAATAGGTGATAAAGAGGAGCTGGTGAGAAAAGAAGGGAAGCTAGTTCTAGTTGGGGGTGATACTATTAGGAGGGTCATACACATAGCCTAGGTTTTACATTGATATAGATTATTATAGACCATATAGGAAACTGTTATATATGTGTCATTGTTATCAAGTACTTACCACAGATTTCTACGCCGTTCATCACCTCGTTGATAATAAGAGGCAGCACGCCGGAGTAGTGCACTTGGAAGGTGAATTTGATCTCATCTCCTGAACCCGCGTTGATTTGTGGGCCATTGAGGGTGAAATGTGTGTCGTCCTTCTTGGTCACCTGCCCCTGGTAGTACTGTCAACGGCAAGAACATAAGTTAGATTGGCACATGTATTATGCAGTTCATTCTCAGTAAAGCTCACAAATATTCGGACAAAATGTAATCTTCAGAAAAAAAAACGTATAAAGTTAAACACCAATAAACACAGCCATAAATGTCTACAGTTGTACTTTACACAGGTTTCGGCAGTAATGAACTGAAGAACACGGACTTACGTCTATGGAATCTACGGGTTGACTGAAGGCAAAATCCAAAGTAAGACCGTTGATGTCCACGGGAGCTACAGCACTGAAGTCCGCTTGGTAGTTGCCCGGCCACTTGTTGCCGAAAACAACATTGTCACACTGCGCCTTCGCTCCTGCGACCAACCACACAAATAAGAACTTAGGATCTTTCCTAAACTTAAAATGATTAATTGGTTTGTCCTTTGTTGAGATAACTGCCTACTCCTTGATCAAGGAATTTTTCGCCACACAGACGTCGTCTTGAGTTCCGCACTTATTCATTTTATTTTGCTAATGTATAGCTCTATCTTGACACATCCCACTACGCTTACTTTTTAATTAGAAATGTGTATAACTTGGCAATCCTTGAAGCATGTTTTGCTCCGCCTCGTTGTATGAGTCTCCTACAGGAATGTGTCATTATAACAATAATAATAATGACAAGAGTCTGACCCATAATTCCAATCTACAGAAATATAATGTAAATGAGTTTTAACTTTTAAAATCACAAATATGTCACAATACCTTCAGCAAGTTCTTGCAATACAAAAAAGTGTGGTGAAAAAACTGGGCTGGAAAATTTAACTGTACAGTATGACGAAGACGTGAGTACAATCAAAGACAAAAGTCGCGTCACGGTTTTGTCCGAAAATTAAATATAACTCGTGAAACATTATGAGAGCCTCCTACCACAAGGCAGAGCACACCAAAAGTTTTAGCCCTTCGGCATATGTTTTCACCAAATTTCACGACATGACTTTTGTCTTTCATTGTACAAAATTGTTAACAAGATATTGATGATAAGAATTTTACAACCAGTAAGACATCTTAGCAGAGATGTGTGTGTGTGTGTGTGAGAGAGAGTACCTGCGAGGAGGAGGGCGAGTGTGACGGCCCCCAGCAGGCAAGTCTTCATTGGGGCAACAGTCATGACTACAGCAAACTGTGGAGCTGAAGGGTCAGGTCCTCCCTCTTATATATACACCTGGTTATCGCCCCCCTCCCCCTTACTTGACGTCATATCCTCGGGAATTAAAAAATTCAATGTATCTGTCAGAGAAAACAATATAGCATTGTTACGGCTGGTTCAGGTGTTAAGTCTCTCACTGTGTGGCGTTATTTTTTCTTTTTAATCTTTACCGTCTGATAAGGAGACTTCGCTGTGTAATAGAACTAACATACAGTATATAACAGCACTGAGACTGGCATCATCTGTTCATAACCTGATAAGATGTGTTGTGTTGTGTACATCTCCCCTGTCCTCTCATGACATCATACCCAGTGTTGTCACCTCGGCCACACAATATCTCTGACGTACATATTTAAACAAAAAATTGATTCACGTATATGTGTGACGCAAGTTAAATTATTTCTATTGAGAGCTGTTGACGTAGACAGGAGTTGACTCATGTCTAGGACTGTGATTTGATAGAAGATCGATTCGACGTCGACCTGTACCAACACCATGAGAATTTAGTATTTACATAAAGTAAAAAATAATAGTGTATTGGTATTTATTTTGGAAACTATATAGATTTATTCCCTATTAATTTATCTCATACCGAACGACTAGAATTTATAAGTTTAGTCGTGTTTCTCCTACTATCTCACAGGCTGAGCTTAACGTTAAGATGTACAGTGTTTAATAGCAAGGAATATTATCCTGATGACGTATAGCTGCAGGAATGAACGTATTGCATTCTACCTACCTATTCGAATCTGTATGAATCCACGGAGTCCGATGACTGTCTCGGTCAGTAAAATAGTGAGGAAAACAGGTTAGCGCCTCGACTCTACAACCCATCCTCGGTTCCCTGCCTGTTTTCGACTTAGTTCTAAGGCTAGAGCAGGAATCCAGATCTCTGACACATTTTTCAACCATAAGAAGGAATTTTAAACCTCAGTCCTTAATTATGGTCTCCAGAGCCCAGAAGAGGGAAAAAGAAAGGGAGGTCGTATGTCAAATGAATCACCGTAATACACCCAGAGCCAGGTAAAACATATTTTATAAAAGATAAATGCAAATCTAGATGAACTCCTGTTTCCCAGCTCCACGTAGTTTGAAGTTGTAAGATCTTATCGGTATCTCAATATATCCAGGCAGAGGAGAAGGCTGAACCTACACTGATAGTGAAAAGTTTATTTAGCTAGATGGCCAATGACACATTATACAGTGTCGACATGGCTACGCCCCTTGAAATCTGAAGCTTTCTTGAAATTGCACCCGATCTATACATTCTAGTGTTAAACAAAATACATTTGATGTCTACAATATTTTTCCATAGGTCTCCAAAAGGACATTTTATAACGAAAAATGCTAAATATAAGGTACTTGTTCATCAGTAAAGGTATTTGTGACCAACAGTCCAGCAGAAAGGAAGTAAATATCACTTAAAAGATAATTTAAAAATATTTTTTAAGCATTTATTATCTTCAGAAACATCACACAACACCCGGATCAAGTTTTACATTACAGATTTCAAATATTCGTAGTAACTTTATTCATCACCTAGCGGGGAGGACCTCACTCATGGATAACAAAATGGGCTTCCTGTTAGGTTAATCTTTGCCAGACCAGGGAAAATAAATAGGCAATAAGAGGCAAAAAATCTGCACCCAACACCCAGTATGGTTATGGCATCCCCCCCCCACTCAGTCTTGGTGGCCAGCGGGGAGAGATGAGGCCGGGTTTGTGTTCTTGTGAATGGATTGGAGAGCACAAGAGCGTGATGACAGTAGTGAAGAAGGTGGTGTGGTGTGGTGTGGACACGTGGAGGAAGAGATACATCAAGAGGATATACTGAGGTAGAGAGAGAGAGTGGTGAAGGTCCAGGTTGTGTCTCAGGATACATGTGGGTGTACAGTAGGTCACAATTATTGTGCTGCCTCACCGCGGCCTGACGAGCTGCACTATCGTGGACAAAAGTTCGCTCCTTCCCAAACTGAAGCAGTATCGACCCGCACAGCACACCCGCACCAGATAACACTCAGGGTAAGTCAGTTCGGAGTCTCATTCCCGTGTCTCAGTTTCACTACAGGGAGCGAACTTTTGTCCACGATAGTACATACGGTATAGTTCTGCTGGGCCTCAGGTCGAGGCACACCGGCTCAGCCTCGGAGTGCTCCACCATGCTTGGCAACTCACTTCCTGGCCAGTAATGGCAGGGAGGCCTCAGGGTGGCCCACTCCTTGGCTAGCCGCTTCCACAAGTAAGAATAAAAAAAAAGAAGATATATATTATAAATAATGGGATTAAAATAATGATAATAAAAAATATTAAAATAATAATAAATAATAGGAATAATAATACTAATAATAAATAATAATAAAAAAATTATAAATAATAAAAATAATAAAAATAATAGGAATATAATAATAATGGTAATAATAATAATAATAATAATAATAATAATAATAATAATAATAAAATAAGGAAGTACAGGTATCTGGATGGCGGTCTGGTCACTGATAAATTTTGCGAAAAATAATCGACCGAACCAAAGTGTCTATACTTAAACTTAAATGTATTTCGTATATTATTTTTTTCTTACTGTTTCTGAAGAAATATGTTCCAGCTAATATATTCCATTATAAAGTTTAAATAAAAGTGTTTGTTGCATTATAGAAGGAAAAAAGTAAAAACTAAATATCAATATTTTTGTGCTTTATTTATTAACACTAAATCGTCCAACAATAATGTCACAGTCTAGAGAGTGAAAGTAAAGATTAAATAAGACGAAAAGAGTAAGAAAAGATAATATCGCCCCGGTCCAGTTTTAAGACGCAGCTTTTGTGAGGATCTGGTTTTAGTGCCTAGCTAATCTCGATGAGGGCGGCCAGAGCTCCCGTGTAGGCAGCGTTGTAGTCGCAGGCCACCTCGTTGTGTTGGTAGTCCTGGCGATTGTCCTCGTAGGCTCCGCTCTGAGGTAGGAGGAACATGTAAATTAGAATTGCCCTGTGCATATCAACATTATATTCTTATATCTAAGGGTTAAGGTGGCCGTCACCACGCTGAAGCAAAAGAGATATGAGGTGAACATCAGTAATGTATTCCTATATTTAAGCGTAGAAAAATGTTGTGTATGAGAACACAATTACTGTATATCCCCACACATAAGAACTGAAACTACTTGTATTACGGTACTGGAAGGAGGGGGTATAGTTCTGAACTCAACGAAAATAACGAAGTTCCACAATCAGCTTAAGATTATACTCCTAGACTTCTGTAGACGAAACATTATGGACTAATCTATTAAAGTCCACGACTATTAGCTACTACTTGACCTACACGGAATTATAGTGATGGCGTGAAATTCGTTCTGATGACGATTACCTGTCTGGCATGACTGGTTTTAAAACAAATATATTGTTATTGTGTTTTAGAAACTATCTTGTAAGAGTTTGATCAATAAAACACCATCAGCAAATCACTCTTAACACGCTTTGCTGTGAGATAAAGAAATCATTACTGCCTGGCCACAGGGAAATCACAAACCGTTACTTACCGCAGCTGGCCCGCCGACGAGGGCACCGTAGAGGACGTGAGGGTTGGGCCCCGGGTTGGTGAGTGCTCCCTCGCAGGTCTCAGGAGGGGTCGGGCAGGAGCTGCAGTCCAGATATTACAAGTTAACCTTTTCTCTGAGATTTGTGATTGAAATATTTGTTTTCACGTAAAAAAAAAAAGTAAAAAATTCAGTAATATAAATTAAATAATGAAGCTTCCGCCTATAATATTAATTTCATAAAAATAACAATACAAAGTAAACTCGTTTTTTGCATTGTAACATAATTATTAAGGTTGTTCTGTACAGGTTACGAACAACTTAGCACTTATATGCAGTATTTTTTTTACACTTATATTTCTGAATATATTTCGACACATTATTCTCCGAGGATGAGAGGGCATGTTATTTATTAAGTAAACGAGTAACACAATCAAAGTGTGTGTGTGTGTGTGTGTGTGTGTGTGTGTGTGTGTGTGTGTGTGTGTACCTGGAGCGGTGGTGGGGCCTCTCAGGGTACTTCTCGCCGTAACCCACTACGAAGGACATTTCGTATCGGGAGTTGTCACCCAGCAGTTGACCGACCTGCCCCCTGGCCCACTCTTCGTTGGCCTCTTTGTCAATACCGTTCTTGGCCGCCTGAAACATTCAAATAAAATAATAAATACAGTTACTTTCATAAATGTAAATAACTAATCATTATGTGATGAGTTCACAGAAGGTTTCCATAGTATCTTATATAATTAGTGTAAAACTTTATCTTTACGATGCCTGTGTTTGTTGTCGAGGGAAACATGACAGGAACTGACCCAGAGGGAGATGAAGGCGACGTTTGCAGCGTGACGATTGGAGCCCCATTGGTCCAGGAAGACCAGACCTTCAGGGGTGTAGTCTGCTTTGTTCTTCAGGAAGTCTAGGTACTTGAGGAGCTGAGTAGAGAACTCCTCTGAGCCGTCCAGCAGTATGAACAGTTCCTGTTTTGATGATCGGAGATTAATAAAATATAAATTGTGGAACCTGCGTTTTAGGGTAACCATCTTAAGAATGTAGACTACGAGGCCAGCCCAAGGTAAGTTAAGTGAAAAGATAAGAGCTGTGTAATACTCTTGAAATTATCCTCAACCAGACACAAGAGTTGTGTAGTCTCAACTCAGAGTTTTGTTAAGGGGGGGGGGGCAGAGTAGAGTATTCCAGAGCAAAGTTTCTCAACTGGTGGATTATGATTATTATTATTAGGCCAATTATCTTAAGTTGTAGAATGTAGGTTACACAGGAGCGCCTATCTTCTGTACAAAGACTTCACAACAAGTTTCTTTTTGTACACGGGGTTGAAACTTTTTAATTTAATTTTTGTTTTTGTATGTTAGGTATTTTAAGTTATTGCATTAAGTATAAACGAGTATAACCAACTGTTCAAGCTATCTAAAACTGTACAAAAGACAAAAAGAGACCTTAAATCAACACAACGAAATTATGTGTTCAATAAAAATATTTCACTTACAAAAACGCCAGCCCTCTTGTCGTCCCAAGAGAACTGTTTGACATCTTCTGCCAAGAGGTCGAATTCATTCCAGCGGTCGCGGGCTCGGTCGAGGTAAGCGTCGTCTCCTGTTGCTCGCGCCAGCCACAGTGCTCCCCAGACGAGCTCGTCTCCGTACCCGCTCCAAGAACTGGGGAGAGGGATGGTTTCTGTAACTCAAGTATTGAGGTTAATGGTCTGTCACTGAATTTTATTTTTGAGATTGCTGATTGGTTGTTGTTAATGATCTATAGGTGTTACTGATCTGCGGCTAACAATGACCTGTTTATATTGCTGACCTTCTATTAACCTATTTGCATTGCTGGTGATAGTGTTGTTATGTGCTGTGTTTCTGACTGAATAGTGATGAATTATTATAACTCTGGTTTTTCCAACATTCTGGTAAATTTCGTTATATGCAAATATTGTTGGTTCAGTCGCATAGTATTACCTCGGACTTTGCGCTCAGTATCCCATTAAAGGGGTACACTGGAGTTCACTAATAACAATATAATAAGACACGCAACACTTTTCCCCGTCCTCTATTACTGTATTTAGTTAGATGAGTCACTTAACCGTACAACTAAGTTTTGTTTACAAGACAAGTGTTCACAATAAACAACACACATGTTCATCACAGCACACACCATCACATAATGTTCACGACTCATGTTCACCAAAGTACTCAACTCAACACAACACAACACAACACAACACTCATCTCATGTTCGCTATACGCATGTTCACCACAGTACGTAACACTTACTGGTAGTATTCTTTGGCGTCAGGGATGGAGTTGTCGTAAGTCTCGCGGAAATTGTCGGCGAAATCGTAGAGTTCCTTGGCCACGTCCAGCATCGTGGCGGCGTAGGTTGGATCACTTTCCTGAGGAGGCAAAAAACTTCGAGATGAAGAAAATAAAACAAACACACACACACACACACACACACACACACACACACACACACACACACACACACACACAGTTTTAAGGTAGGTAAAATTTACAGAAGTACCAAGATAACACAGAGAGAATATCAATTATATGTAACTTGAGAATAGAGAGAAAAAAAATTATACATTGTTTGCTTGTAACCAAATCCCATATCACAAAGACAGGTGTGCATTTCACTCAGTATACCACCTACACTAGACAATGACTGACGAACGGCGTAGAGGAAGGTGCTGGGTGGAGGAGTTGAGTAGTGTGTTGTCTGCTATGTTGATAAATACCCACTCTAGCTTAGCATACTATAGGACCTCAGCAACACCAGCCACAAGAAGATTAAAGAGAGAATCACCATTTGAGGCAAGATATTAAGGATGTTAACAGAGAACACTAGTCATCCTCATTTAGTCCTACTTGACTTGCCAGGAGCTATAACCCAAAACTGAACCCTGTAAAATGCATCATTGCTTGGGGCTCACATCAAGGTATATTTGTGTCAACTCTCATCTTAATTGATCCAAACATGGCGGACAATAGTTCTAGACAAATTTTGTGGGTACATGTATTTGTACTTTGACCCATAAAATTAGTCAAATGACCAACATAAAAGACATAACAAGTGTAGGGCGTATTAGACCTAGAGGTGAGTTTGATGGCAAAAAGAAAGAAAGAAGAAAGAGCAACACAAAAAGTCTTCCCTCCTTTAGAGAACATAATTACCTGGAAGACCATGGAGGCTGCGGCGAGCGCGGCAGCTGTCTCGGCAGCCAACTCAGTTCCTGGAGGAGAGAAACAACAGGTCTTATGTTGTGGTCTTTAAAGTTCGTCTTAGGAAAGCGACAATTTTTATAACAACCTCAATCTCAGCAATATTATTAAGAATCCCAGAACGAAGAAGAATAAGGAGACACTAGAATAGACATAAAATTGACGTAAGGTGATCTTATAGACTGACGACCACCAGCCTAACACTCACTTGCTTCTCATATATTAACCACGTGTCCTTTAACATGAAACTCTCAGGCCACACAAGAGTTCGCTTAGAAACAGTCAACACAGAGAAGCTCAAGAGTCGGGAACACCTCTGCTCCTCATCTTACCTGCATGAGGTTCATCGATTTTAAAGGAAGGACGGTCCATGGTCATGTCTTCAGGTCGTCCCCAGTAGGAGTGATCAGGTCCGCCGGCACCAACCTGCACAGTAAACAATTATTATATAGATATTTCTGAATTATTATACCTCATACTGCACTGTATATATTCAAGGTAGCTTTACTTTGGGCTAATATTTCTGTTTTACTAATTTTTTTAAGTGTTTTTTTTTAATTATTCCCAACTTGTTTCCTTATATAATGTTTAATCCATTTGCTGCCACACATCAGACATCTTGACCTACTTAAATCTCTATAGATAAACTTTATAAGGTCATATTGAACCTAATTAAGGTACAACTAATACTTAATTTCTCAGCCTGGTAAAACTCCCAATAAGTCCAGAACTCAGTATATTATTCATTAGGATTTAGGTTAAGTTCCTTTATGTCACTTTTGCTAAAGTTCGCGTAAGGAACAACTGACCTGGCCGTAGAATTCGTCTTTGGCAGTGTGAGCCTTGAGGAAGTAGTCGGTGGCCCACTTGAGCGCTGCCATACCGTACTCCGTCTGACCTATGGGAGACACGCCAGAGTCAGGAGTCTAGTTAAGCTATAAAACAACGCAGTTTATTAAGAATTGTATTTCTATGTCAGGATTGTTTGTCGGCTCTCGTTGTAGTTGTGTTGATTATAAACTTCTTATTCGTGTGATTATCGACTAAAATTTATGCTTCGTCTTAGTTCACCTAAATTACTTGTGAGAAACACACTGCAAGACTCACCAGCTGCTTCATACCCATCAGCGAAGTCAATGAGGCCCCAAGCCAGCACGGTGGCGGTGTAGGCCATCGGGAAACCAAACTTGACGTGGTCCCCAGCTGAACACAGAAACACAAACTATAGATAACCGTTAATACAACTTAGATATCAGAATATGTACTTTGTTTTTCCATTTGGCAATCGCCTCGTTTAATTTTCCTCTTACCGTCATAATAGCCGCCAGCAAGGTCGTGACCCACATCAGAGCCGTCGTCCAGAGCCGAGTCGCCTCGCCAGGTGACGCGCTGATCTGCAGGCAGAGGACCTGACCGCTGGGCCTCGTAGAACACAAACGACATGCACAGTAGCTGAGGGTGAGGGGCGAGAGGGTAAGGCCATGAGAAAAGAGGAAACGGAAAAGTGACTTGCACTGAGGGAGAGTTGACTTAGGAATGATTGACAGAAGGAAGGGAGACGAGATACAGATTTGTGATAAGAGGTTAGGGGCTACTGGACTTAAATATTTTTACCCTGCGAAACAAAGTTCATAATTTGATTCATGTGATTCCTCTTCATTGGAAATACTTTTTCCTCTGCCCAGTGTTTGTCCAGTTACTGAGTTCGGTGAAGCATGGCTCTTTTCTATACAGTTTGATAAAGGAGATCAATAGCCAAGAATTATATATATGAACACCGTGACTCTAAAAGAAACTTAAGTTCCCCCCCCCAAAAAAAAATAATATTCCATAATCTTTCTATAAATGTCTTCTGTTTCCTTTCCGTCTTCGTTAATTCATCAACAGTGGATCTGTACCTTTGAAGCTAAAGTTATCAAGGACAGAACACACCTGAGGCACTCACCTGACTGTAGTCGTAGGGCATCATGCCAGTTTCAGCACAAGGGTTGGGCATGGGTGCAGGCGTGGTGGCGGTGGTGTCTGGAGGTGTGAGGGAAAAAACAAACGTGAGAATAATGTGAGGAGTGAGGAGCTGGGAAGAAGACACTGTGAGGTGCTGGAAGTGAGAAGCCATCTTGAACTTACCGAATCCAACTAATATGAACTTCGATTAAATCTAACTAAATTCAACTGATTTTAACTCCACTATCAGTTTCTCTATAGCTATAATACTTTGTCACTCGGAAAAAGTTACTCGCTGTCAGTGATATTTTATTTAGGCTGCCATGTCCCGCCTGATTTTCTTAATAGTAATTATGTCCTTCCACTAAATTAATTGTATTCAGTTATAATGAATTAATATTTGCCTGTAGCTCTTATACGTGCCATTGTCACTGATAGATAATCCACTCGCCCATTGACGGAGAACTGACGACTATACTGGCCTGGCACATCACTGTACGATATATAAATTCACATTTCTCGAGGCAGTCATGACATAAAGCGTCCTCCAGTGTCTCCCACAACACTATCAACGTGTATGTAGTGTAGTAGTCTTAGACGTAACATGACAGCAGGACACACCTCATTCTGGCTTCATCTAGGAGAATGTTCCTTGCAATAACCAGCTTCGAAGGCGAATTCAAGGTAGTTTTAGCAACCAGTGTTGATGATCTGTGAAATTCCCGATTATCTATTTTTTGTCTCCCATTTTCCTGTATGTTCAATGTAAATCGATCCTAAATTTTCTAGTCTGAGTGTCGGTATTGTGCTGTAGTCTGGAGTGAGAAATATAAACATAAATGTGACGAGTGTGAAGCAGAGAGCAGAAGCGGCAGCACCTACCACAGATCTCCACACCGTTGATCACCTCGTGGATGACGAAAGGCATGTGGTGAGAGTAGTGCACCATGAAGGAAGCCTTCACCTGCTCACCCTCCTTTACGTTTACGTTCTGGCTGAAGAGGTTGTAGTTATAGTCGTCCTTCTTGGTCGCCCCGCCAGAATAGTACTGTCCACAGTATAGGTAGATGATATTACCTGTCACTCTATTTAATCAAACAACTAAATTTTATTTTATTTATTGACAAGGCTGCAATATCCTTCTTATAAGTGATATATGTATATATATATATATATATATATATATATATATATATATATATATATATATATATATATATATATATATATATATATATATATATATATATATATATATATATATATATATATATATGGAGATTGGCAAGTGCCTAGACTCGCTGCCATTCTCAACCAACTCGAAAACTCGACTTAAAAACTATCCTTATTATATAGTGTCTTTGAATAACTAAAATGTATTAAATGTATTCGGCGAAGGTTTATAAACTGTTTATGAAGAATTTTACAACCAAGAAGATACATCCGGGTAAACTACCACTCAGTAGACGACTCACATTAACATCAGCTCAGGGAGGGACTTGTACCAGACTCACCTCTATTCTGTCTACAGGTGTGTTGAAGGTCAGATCTAGGTCCAGTCCTTTGATGTCCGTAGGAGCAGAGACAATGAAGTCTGCCTGGAACCTGCCCTGGAACTGTTGGACGACTTGGACATGTTCACACTGGGCCTTCGCTCCTGTGGACACAACGCACCAAAACGTTAAACATCAGAATTAAGCAAAATGATCCTGGTCGTCAGGGCTAGAGTATTACATCTTATATTAGGGTCACTACATCCTCTTTTACTAACGAATTAATTACAACTCTGGTAAAGGTTTCTCCGTTAGTCACCTGAGACATGCGCTTGACACCTTCATGCCAACACCAATCCCCCTCCCTCCCGACACAAGACAAACACAAGTTTTCTCGTTTACCGGAGGAGACCGATAAGCTTTAAATAGTTGAGTCTTGTGTGAAATAAGAGAACACTGAACCTTCGAGGACAATTACTGAAAACTCTCCTTACGTACGAGAATGCCATTATTTTATTATAAGTGAAGATTCATTGTATATGTGTGTATGTGTGAGTACCTGTATAGAGGAGAGAGAGGCTAATGGCCCCCAGCAGGCAGGTCTTCACAAGAACACCAGTCATGTCTGCAGCAGAAGAGACTGTGGTAACTGAAGAAGGTTTTCGTTTTTTTATATACACATCTGGTGGGCACGTCACCCTCACTTACGCCAATCAATACAATCATTTTATTGCTGGGGTTTCTCAGGGTACTCACCTGGGTCACCTTGATACCTGAATTATCAGATATGGAAACTCCGCGGGATAAATGACTAACACTCTCTCTCTCTCTCTCTCTCTCTCTCTCTCTCTCTCTCTCTCTCTCTCTCTCTCTCTCTCTCTCACACTAAATAAGATAATTGCCGATTAGCGATAACTTCTATGTGTTTCTTTTTATAGAATACGTCTGACTTGACACAGACGTAAGTGTATATTATATTATATAATGATGCATATATACAAATAGTTTCATAAATAACTTATCTTAACCTAACTTAACCTAACCTATCCCTGTTTGGCAAAATGTTCAGTTTTATTTAATTTATCAGTAATCATCCCTATTTAGCGTGAATAGATAAATTATAGTAAAAAACTTGGAATAAAAGGTTCCAAATATGACATGGGTGGGATGCTCTCGTGGCAAGACTGTGTCCCTTACAACTACAGTATAAGGAAAGTACTGTACGTATGACTGTATGAAATCATAACTAAAGTCAAGAATGACAATACCTGGAATAACTTATGGAAATTTAAAAACGGTACAACATTAAATACATATTTTCTCAATTGGGTGAAAGGAGCCAGGACTTCACTCCTGCTTTTTGTACGGGTACTTAGCCGTAAGTGTTCTTAATGAGTGTCTGAACTCTGGCAAGGTGATGGGGGGGGGGGCTTGTTCAGTGATGCCTCTGAGGAGTGTATGTGTGTGTGTGTCTTGTTGTGACATCTTTATGGTCATCGTGTGGTGGTATGATTATTCTGGGATGACATACCACTACAACCCACTCTGGGTATACCTTCCCGTAAGTGACCGCGGGTGGTTTGATGGTGGACGACACATGAGTTACACACTTGACACTTAACTTTATTTTCTGCAAGGTGGTCGTCGTCGGTCATGCTTGTCATTGTGCAAGAGAATATGTAACATAATTTTGCATTGGTGTAGATTCTGAGTGGAGCATATCAGTGTGTGTGTGTGTGTGTGTGTGTGTGTGTGTGTGTGTGTGTGTGTGTGTGTGTGTGTGTGTTTAGGTGTATGGTTAAGTTAAGAATTTCATCAGGCAAGTGTTCACAGGTAACACCACTAAAGTCATGCCAGCAGACTGTGGTGCAGGATGGCGGTGGTTGTTGTGAGGGGCCACACTATCCCTTCCTACACAGCTGTTGGTCACACGGCCACCACACTGTTGAAGTTACAAACATAGAGACTCAAATATTTGTTTAAGACTGTGCGTCACTGACGATACGGCGGTAAAATAATTGCCTTATCAGGGAACTTGCAGATGATACCTCTCTCAGCACCTCTAAGTTCGTGAACCTTTATTGCCTGCACCGCGAGGTAAAAGTAACCTTTAAAGAGAAAGTTAAAAAAGATACAGACATTTGAGGCGGAGATGAGGATGTACCCCACATAGTAGAGCCCTTCCTCCCCCTCCCCCCAATGAAAGATTATTTACCTTTTTCTAATTTGTCACTGAGCACAACCGTAGTTATTAAGATAGCACGAAATTTGATATACTTATGTTAATAGCTCCGAGAGTACATTGTCTAAATTAGGAAGAACTAATTGTGTAATCTTTGACCTTGGGCAGCAGACGACAGTAAAACACAATTACTCGGTTACATATGTGATTTTATTGTGTAGATCATGTTGTAATATATATATATATATATATATATATATATATATATATATATATATATATATATATATATATATATATATATATATATATATATATATATATATATATATATATATATCATACTTTGAAAAAAGTGAAATAAAGTAATAATAATTTTTTACCTGAAAAAGAATTAAATACTAACATTCAAACAGTCATGTAAATATGAGGTGAACTGTTGTAACCCGGCATAAGCGGGGATGGAAGAAGCGGGATGAGACGACCATATTTGAGACATTGTTTTGTGGTCAAACTGCACTTCGGAGACGCACTGCCGCAGTTTTTAACCTAAAGAGCTGATGTTTGTTATAGTTATTTTTTCGTGTGCACTTCATTTTGACCAAGGACGGACATAGGCTACGAGCTCCTCTTTTAATTCTTAGGGATGGTGGCTGCACCGTGCCATCCTGGTTATCTTTACTTTAGAAACAAATCCAGGTAACCAGGCCCGGATTATCCATTAGGCACAGTAGGCACAGTGCCTAGGGCCTACTAGATATTGAGGGCCTACGAAAAATTAAACGAGAACTTTTCTTCCCCTTTTTCTACAGGTTATTATTAAATTGATACTGAGGTACTTTTTTCCATTTATTAATTACTTAATCCTATTAGTATCTATTTATGTTACTTGATTATTTTCTATACTATTCTATTTAGGCATATTCTGGCCATAGATGAAAGCAAAATAGTAGAAGAAAGTTGTTTCAAAGAGTACACAAAATTTTTATTTTTTTTCAGTTGTCTAATACATACTTTTGTTTCTGAAATATCCTATACAAGTTACAACGTAATCATTAGGAAATGTTTAGAACATACTCAATATGCCAAAGCAACTGCTTCGGAAAATTGACACAGATTTTAAGTTAAGATATTTATTAGATCAAAACTTTACGGCTTTTTTGCAGTGCAAATTGTTTTATTATGTCATTAGTGTCTATCTTTCGAAGCAGTTCATTTTCAATTGAAAGTAGGGAAAGAGAAGAGAGCCGCTCTTGGCCCATAGTGGATCTTGAACAGATTTTAATTCTTTTTAGTTTGGAAAAGGACCGCTCGCTTTCACAACTGGTTGCAAACAGTGAAAGATAAATTCGAAATGCAATGTGGACATTAGGAAAACTGGTTATTAATCCACAGTTGATTAGTTGTTTCAGCATTCCATTCACGGTTTTCTCCTCCGGGTACATATTTGAGAATAGCAAAAACTCATCAGCAAAACATTTTTCCAAATCACTGGAATATGTCTTCACTAGATTTCTGGCTTTCAGGATCACTTTATCCTGGGACAGTGATTTGTCAACCAGGAAACCAAATCTGTCACACAACACTGAATATGCTTCTTGGCGTCTAACCAACTGAACAATGAGCTTGTCTACAATTGGATAAAATGTCTGTGTTCGAAATCTGTCACTTGCAGTCATCACATTTTATAATTAGGTACTAGCTTGTGTTATTAGTGAATATGCTGTCAAATGGGGCCCCATATCTTGGAGGTGCCTAAGGCCTACGAAAGTCTTAACCCGGCCCTGCAGGTAACGCCGGGTTTCTTAGTAAGTATACTCGTATAAGTACAATATCTGTCTCTCTGTTCATTATGCACGGCTTCAGTTTTGAAGATAAGGAGCTGAAATTAGGCATGAAGATGTGCAATGGCCTCAGAAGTGTCCAGAAGGAATGGTTTTGTGAGGTTGGCCCGAGGGGACGGGGGATTGATTGAGTACAAACACTATTACAATATTTCCCTCACCGTCAACACCCCGACCAAACCTTTCAGATGAAGGAACACCCCCACCTGCGCCAGCACTAGAGTAACGTGAGAAAAAAAAAACACACCCTCCTACCCAACGATTTACCACCCCCATCATTAATCAAAACAATCAGACTATTACCCAAACACCATTAAAAACAGGAAAGTAACTTTAACATCAATGAAAAAGCAGATAAACAAAAATAATTGTTGTTTAGGAAGCCCAACGTGGACAGGCTCGGTCAGACTCGTTCACTTAATACGTGACAATATTATTTGAACGGTGAACCAGTTAACCCTTTCACTACTGGACGTCACTTTTAATATTTTATTTGGCTAATGCTAGATGATTTTATTCAGCACAGAGAGACCACTGGTACCTAGGCATTCTTATATCTTCACCGAGGAATATTTATTGTTTAAACCTTTGAAAATCATTACACGGCAGAATGTGTTGTACGACCCCAAGATTTGTCATAAAGGAGGAATTTAGAATTTAGGCGTCTTGGTCATAGTGGTCAGTCCCTCGTGAGCGTTGGGGGGCAGCCGTGTAATGTTACAATTAAAAGAAGAAAATTTATTTACTGTTTTCAAGATTTTGTGAGATTAAGGCAACGTAAGCTTACTCAGTTCGTTCATAACTGTTGAAATGTTGCCAGACTTCGACTGCAGAACAATTTGCATCTTCTTTAATTTTTTATCATTGCATATATTCAGGATTTAGGTATGGTAAAAAAAAATATATATCTGATACAGTATTCTCTTTTGTCTACACATGTAACTAAAAGAGTCGTCTTATTAACTTTTTTTTTACTCTAACTCCCTTGATAATTGGTGACGGCGTGATGTCAGATATGATACAACCTGGAAAGTTTCTTTACATCTCCAGCAATGATCGAACGCCTTTACCTTCCTATAACCCTCTGTCTTTCCCCCCCCCACCTCGAAAACTACCTCCTCTAAGTCTAAATTATTTAATATTCAGGATTTAAGAGATTTTCAGTCCTTTGTTTGAGGCCACCAGATTAAGACACTGCCCGAGTATCTGGCAGACGAGAAGCCACAGTAATAAAGAACACAGGAATATTGTATATACCTCACTGGTGCTGGAATTTGAACATAACTTCTAAGTTTCGAGTAATTTGGGATACCTACATATAGTCATCTTATCTAATCAAGTGACTGAAAGAGAAGCTGATTCAATAATAATAATAATAATAATAATTAACGGTTTATTGAAAAAATTCTGCAGCCCGAAGGTTGAAAATATACATTGGACATAAATGACTTATTACATACATTGGTGGTTTAACAAAAGCCTTCATTAGAGAAAGGTAAAGGAACATACAGTGAACATACAGATTAATGTAGGTGTTGAACAGCAAACTCGTAGTGTAGTAACTCCCTCCCAGATGGTGTTAGGAGGAGCTCACTCTCACGTGGTGTAGTAATTCCCTCACAGATGGTGTTATGA